TTACAGTACATTTACAGAAAAATGTATTTAATCATAAAAGACTCACGAGTTTTGAGTGAAAAATAACATGTACGTATTGCTTGAACTGAAAACTGAAATGAAATTTCCACTTTAAAACACCTTTAGAATATTTTCCTGTGAATGAGGAATAACAAAAAGCGTTGAATCAGAATTTCACGTTCCTTAATTATTTTACTGTTACTGTTACCACAGAAAAAAGCCAGTTATTTAATAACACACACACACACTATAGATTTATTGTGTAACTACTGTTGGACGTGCAAGAGATGGGAACTGAATATTCTTGGTGTAACTACTGTTGGACATGCAGGAGATGGGAACTGAAGATTATTTGTGTAATTACTGTTGGACATGCAGGAGATGGGAACTGAAGATTCTTTGGGTAATTACTGTTGGACATGCAGAAGATGGGAACTGAATATTCTTTGTGCAACTACTGTTGGACATGCAGGAGATGGGAACTGAAGATTAAAATGCATGTAACGAGAGAAAACACTAATCAAACGTAAGTCGTCTTACCCTAAACAAATTGTAAAGTTAATAGAAAAACTAAAATCGAAAACTCATTGAGCTAAATAGTTCGTTCTGTTCACTTTTAAACGCAGAGAACTGTACATTCCTGGAAGTAATTATATTTGGAAACTACACACGTATCTACCATAAGAAAGTAGAGAGAGAAATAAATATGTAATTATTTATCCATGTACTCAACGTCCAACAGTAATTACACAAAGAATATTCAGTTCCCATCTCCTGCATGTCCAACAGTAATTACACAAATCACGTATTGTATAAATATAGGTAAAATATTATGAACTGAACTATTAGTTTTCTGCTTACAGATTATGGATGATTCCTCCTGCGAATTTTCTTTTTCTGTCTGATATTACGGATGTGTTATTAGAGGTAAACTTCTACAGACATTTGTTTTAATTGTGGTATCTAGTAACGTTCTACATGTGCAATGAAACTGACTTGGTGAGTTGTTGTATCTCAAAAGTGTGGTTTTAATTATTGGATGACTGTTAGTAGAACGTGAACAGCAGTACTACATGTAAAGAACTGACTATCTGTGTACTATTATGTCAATGTGTTGCACGTGTGATGCGTATTTCATTGATGGCAAAGAAGTGATAAACTCTCACTCACTCAAAGTTTTCTTATCCTTAAACACCATGTGCTGGTTGAACGTTGACGTTGTAGTATATTGATATCATAAGAGTATCTAATTAAAACATCAAATAACGCAAGACTTTCAAGCCCTGCTCGTTTTAAGCATATTACGTGCAAATTGTGTGTACGTTAAATTATTTTCAAGTTTATGTTATTTTAAGAATACAAAAACTAAGTTGTCTAAACACTACATGGTAGTTTTGAGAATCATCCTGGAAATCCACATCAAAATTGCATGTTTAATCATACAAAACTTTCTGTGGCCAGCAGAATCCACACAACCAGAGTGTATATGTTTACAAATGTTTCAGTAATTATCATTGGCTAAGAATGTCTGATGAGCCACATAACCAAAATTATGCTGAAAGTCTTTATGATGCTAATTCGCTCTCAAGTAAGATGTTATGTAGAAAATGTAGGATATTCCCAAAAAATATAACCACTTCATTATATTTATAAAGCGATGTTAGTGAACTTATTGTTACATTAGCATAATGTGCTTTTATGCACAAGTAGAATAAAACAGTGTTGAAACTCATCAAAATATCTTGTTCCTACAGACTGTACAAAGTGTCTTGCAAAATGACCTTGGACCTACAGACTATATAAAGTATCTTGCTAAAGGTTCTTCGCCCTACAGATCCTGCGAAGTGTCTTGCTAAGTGATCATAGCCCTACAGACTATGTAAACTATCTTGATAAATAATATTGGCCCTACAGACTATTCAAAGTGTTTTGGTAAGTGATACTGGCCCTACAGACTATACTAAATGTCTTTATAAGTTATACTGGCCCTAAAGATAATAAAAGTATCTTACTAGGGGATCTTGTCCATACAGGTTATACAAAGTGTCCTACCAAGTGATATTGGCCTTATAGACTATAAAAGTGTCTCGCTAAGAGATATTGTCCCTACAGATTATACAAAGTGTCCTACTAAGTGATATTGGCCTTATAGACTATAAAAGTGTCTCGGTAAGAGATCTTGTCCCTACAGGTTATACAAAGTGTCTTAATAAGTGATATTGGCCTTATAGACTATAAAATGTGTCTTGCTAAGAGATCTTGTCCCTACAGATTATACAAAGTGTCCTACTAAGTGATATTGGCCTTATAGACTATAAAATGTGTCTTGCTAAGTGAGCTTGTCCCTACAGATTATAAAAAGTGTCTTAAAAGTGATATTGACTCTACACACCATACAAAGTGTCTTAATGAGTGATATTTTCCCTACAGACTATATATACAAAGTGTCTTGCTAAGTGATGTTGTTTAATAGTCTGGTTTAGTACTGCTTACTTGTACCTTAGATTTGTGAAATGTAGCCAATCGTGCAGAATTAGGCAAGAGTTTTGATATATTATCATGTGTCATTCTGTTTTTTATTCTGTGTCTAAACGGTAACGTTTATGCAGGAAAATAATTTTTTGTTTAGAGTAAATGTGATTCATGTCTTATGTTTTGATTCTTGTCTAAACATATGTATACTTCAATATTGTGGTACAACAACTTCGGTAATTCGTGTTGATTAATGTTGCAAGTCGTAGTCGGTTTTACTTTGATACTCATACGTTCTCGAGATAAGTGTGAATGAAAAATGTTTACACTCTCTATTCACGTATACCAGTGATTTCAAAGTGTTAACTGCATTAATAAAGTAACTTTTATTGTAATATTACATTTATTCTTTTATAATTATTTTCAAAGCTACATATTGGTTTCTTCATTAACACAACTCTTTTGGAAGTGATGCCTTTATTAGCAACTGTTCGTACAGAATTCGTTTCAATGCTTTTAGATCAGTTTTCTAAAGGAATTAGTCATTTTTAACATATTTAGAAATATATAGCTCTCTTACATATCTAAATTTAGTTTATGCAGACCTATAGGGTAAAAGTGTGTTTTTTTTCTATATAAATATGTCCGGATCTTTAAGTGACAACGTTAACAACGTAATAAAAGGTATGGATACACTATTTAAATGACAACGTTAAAAACGTAATAACAGGTATGGATACACTATTCAAATGTCAACCTAGTACAATCGCTTCGGTTTCTGTACAGATACTAAATAATATAGTCCCACAAGGCTCTCCATCTATAACCTCTTCCTACTAATTTTTCCGAATAGAGACCAGGCACAGAAGTATCAGCTAGCTTAGTTTACAGGTATGACTCTAGCATCTTCATGCATCGTAGAACGGTAGGTAAAAAACAAAGCACGCATTATATTCAGAAGGGACAGCACTTATTGATATCATTCACGGTTTGTCGACAGGATAGTTTTGCATCGACTCAAGCAACACTTAGGAAACTTCCAAAGTCAATTTTCACTCCTAGACACCTGTATTTGAGCCCACTTTCTCTGTTTGTTATGAAAATAAAGTCTTTTGTTTTGTATTCAATAACGTCACGCCAACAGTTTTGTAAAGGTGGTAGCTGTCATGTAGATACTTGGAAGTGTTAGCCGTCATGTATTTACTTGAAAGTGTTAGCCGTCATGCAGTTACTTGAAGGTGTTAGCCGTCATGTAGATACTTGGAAGTGTTAGCCGTCATGTAGTTTATTGAAAGTGTTAGCCGTCATGTAGTTACTTGAAAGTGTTAGCCGTCATGTAAATACTTGGAAGTGTTAGCCGTCATGTAAATACTTGGAAGTGTTAGCCGTCATGTAAATACTTGAAAGTGTTAGCCGTCATGTAGATACTTGGAAGTGTTAGCCGTCATGTAGTTACTTGAAAGTGTTAGCCGTCATGTAGATACTTGGAAGTGTTAGCCGTCATGTAGTTACTTGAAAGTGTTAGCCGTCATGTAGATACTTGGAAGTGTTAGCCGTCATGTAGTTACTTGAAAGTGTTAGCCGTCATGTAAATACTTGGAAGTGTTAGCCGTCATGTAAATACTTGGATATGAACAAGGATTTGAATGATTGGAGGATTTCCGTAACCTAAAATACATTATGAATTATTTTGGAATGTGGGATGAAACTGTTGCTCGTAGGATAAACACAAAATCTTTTTGTCAAATGGAAATCAATTGCTATAATGAGAAAGTTGGTATTTGGAGATATTGTCTGTTGACGAGAAGCAGATTTCTCTTCGTTTCTATTTGAGACTCGGACAGGTGATGTGGTAATTTAGTGATAGTATGATGAAGATTCTGATTATCTAATGGAGGTATGTGACTGAAGCCTGATTACTTCTCTACCGGACTTCCCAAACTGAATAATGACCATTTTTATCTTAATTTTTTTCACTAAATAGTAGGCTAGACTGTCTGAGTTAATCAATATTTCACCGAATTTTGTTCTCATTGTATCTTGAAAGTAGAGGAAAATATCAAATACATTGGTTTCTTCGATAGCTAATGATTCTATTTAAATTAATAGTTACTGGTTAGAAGGTTTCTTATATCGGTAGCATACATTTGAATTTTCATAACTTGATTAACAGTTTTGGCATCAGGTGTAAATTCTAGCTTTTCAGCACGTTAAGCTTTAAAAACCTTAGTATAACTTCTTACTTATTTTAATGTTTCATCTTAGTATTTTTTTATGTAATTTGTTAATCTTTATTTTATTCATGGTTCTTTATTGTTTCAAACATCATGAGATATCAGTTGTTTTGTGTGTTTTTTTCGCTTTATATGTATTTCACTATAACTGGCTGTTTTCAAATATTTAATGATGTTTTTGGGGCAGTAAACTAAATATATATATATATATAAACGGGTTTAATCTTATCACCTTTTGCAGCATTAATTATATTTTATAACTAATTAAATACATTTTTATGTTTGGACTTGCTGATGGAAGCCATGAATCCGGAAGATAATTGGTATTTGGACCTCAGTTCGCACTGGGAGGGGAAGGACGAAGATTTTGATTACTGCGATTGCCCTGGTCCTCCATCCCCTCCTCAATTTGTGATTCCCCCGCCTCCACCTCCTCCTTCACTTCAGTTGTGTCAAGGAGAACACACGGACTTGCAGTACTGTAAAGTGAAAACTCTAGGAACTGAATACACTTACCCACACTTTTACTTCCTTCCGGTCATCGCTGTGGTCTCTTCAGTGGTGGTCGTCATCACGGTCGCTTCTTTTCTTTTATGGAAGTAGGTATTATCAGTCTTATTTATCAAATAATGTAGCTCTTAGAGTTCAGTATGAGTCGTTCTATATAATTTAGATCAAAATATTTTTGTGTTCGTAAAGTCATTTATAGGATAAAGTAGTACTATAATGGTTACTAAAGTTGCTCTTATTATGAACACTATAGAACTAGGTATATGTAACATTGCTCTCTTTAGATCCTTGCAATCATCAAGTTTTAATAACGTGAATAATAAAAGTATTGTAACGTTATGCGAATTGGACAGTGTTTACTTACTTTAGAATACATTTTCTTTCATCATACCGTGTGTCAGACACGAAGACTGCGCATGCAGCATTGAGTAGCTTATACCACTCACCAGGGAACATTGTTAACGCGGATGTAGGTCTTCAAGTAATCACCACTGTCGAATATGTTGATAAGATCTAGTACATTATGAAGAACACCATATCAGAATCAATGAAATAAAGATGTTAGTTTCTAGAACAGCAGTAAAAATTCAGTACTCTTTGCTTCAGAAGGAACAGAATGCTATTGAAATGTCAGCACGTTTCAATATATGATGTTAATCTGCGTTATCCGTTTTCATCCGAAGTTTTGTTTCGTGAAATTTTCGTATGAACCGTTTATTGAACAGTTCTATTTTGGGGCTCAAGAGAAAAATCTAATTTTTATGTCTATGCTTTCTGCACAAATATAGTGCTAATTCACTGTTAGAATCAAAATGACAGAACACAATACATTTCAAGTGAAAAGAAAAAATAGTGCCTCGTCATATACATAGTGTACAGTTTCTCTATCGTATTATACATAGTGTATAGGTTCTTCATCTTCATATACATAGTGGGTAGGTTCTTCATCTTCATATACATAGTGTATAGGTTCTTCATCTTCATATACATAGTGTGTAGGTTCTTCATCTTCACACACATAGTGTACAGATTCATCTTCATATACATAGTGGGTAGGTTCTTCATCTTCATATACATAGTGTACAGGTTCTTCATCTTCATATACATAGTGTGTAGGTTCTTCATCTTCACACACATAGTGTACAGATTCATCTTCATATACATAGTGGGTAAGTTATTCATCTTCATAGACATAGTGTACAGGTTCTTCATCTTCATATACATAGTGTACAGATTCTTCATCTTCATATACATAGTGTACATATTCTTCATCTTCATATACATAGTGTGTAGGTTCTTCATCGTCAAAACATAGTGTACAAGTTTTCCATGGTGATATACATAGTTTACAGGTTCTTCATGGTTATATACGTAATGTACAGGTTCTTCATATTCATATACATAGTTTACAGGTTCTTCATCTTCATATACATAGTGCACAGGTTCTCTGTCGTATTATACATTGTGTGCAGGTTCTTCATCGTCGTATACATATTGTAAAAGTTCTTCATCATGATATACATTGTGTGTAGGTTCTCCGTCGTCATATATATAATGTACAGGTTCTTCATCGTCATATACATATTGTAAAAGTTCTTCATCATGATATACATTGTGTGTAGGTTCTCCGTCGTCATATATATAATGTACAGGTTCTTCATCGTCATATACATATTGTAAAAGTTCTTCATCATGATATACATTGTGTGTAGGTTCTCCGTCGTCATATATATAAT